ACGTTAGTCCTTCGCTTAGTTTCGACGCTGCATCGCGCACCCACAAAATCCCACTTATCCATCCCACAAAAAGAGAACAGAATTTTTATGCCTCTCTCTTCTTCTCTCTCTCTTTCTCTCTTCCTGATAAAAAGGTATGTAGTTTACGTAGACAACCCTCCTAAATTATTGCCTAATATTAATGTATTCTCACTAGTAAAAATACTGCGTAGAAATTGGACAAGAACTTGTTAGAATTTCATTCAGTGAAGCAGTTTATTGTACAATATGTGGTCCGATTCATTCCAAAATATAGTCAGTAACATAATATAATCAATATAACAAAATATAATCATATAAATATAATCAAAATATAATCATAATATAACAAAATATAATCAGTAATATTAATTCAGTTTTATAATGTACATAATGTCTGTCGTGAATAAATGTAAAACATATTTATATTGTCAAAAAAGAGAATTCCATGAACAATGAATAAACGTGTTGAAAAGCATATAGCAAGAAAAAAAATTCGAGGAAATGAGATATAACTTGGTGATATTAAGTCCTGTGACAGAAATGACAATAAAAATTAGAAATAAAAGCGAGCAAAAGATACAAATGAGACATACTATAATAATATAGATGTTAATAATACGCACGCGCGCGATAAGAATATGATAACACACATCAAACTATTCTAATAGTAATGATTCAAATAAAAACTGTCATGAAAAGTCAGAGACTTAGAGAAAGAGAGATAGATAGATAGATAGATAGATAGATAGATAGATAGATAGATAGAGAGAGAGAGAGAGAGAGAGAGAGAGAGAACTTGATATAATAAAATTATTAAAATAAATAAAAAGACATATGTTATTTGATATTTGTGGAAGATGTCACGTAAAAGATATCTAAAAAGAGATATCTAAAAAAATATATTAAGTATCTAAAATTCCCTGCATTATGATTCTCATTAACATTAAAATATTTGAACTAAAAAGCAAGCGTGAAAAATAGAATATTACGAGAGTAAAACTGCCTATTTTATAAGTAGCCAACTTGATTATTAACCAATTATATTTTACCCATTTAGTGTTCTATTTTCGTTCAGCAAAATCTGAACCAAAAGATTCGGACTTTGCGCATCTTTCGTTACATCTTAATTGAGATCCCAAGTAGTTTTACTCTTCAGTTACTAGAAAAAAGTTAACATGAGTTTTAAGTAATTGCCCGAAACTTGCACTAAACTTCTACCAGGGCTCTGTCGTGTTGCTTTAGAGCAGTTATTTTCCTGCCTCTAATTAAATAAATTGTAAAAATATTATAGAGGAATATTGTATATAAGATAGCCATTGACTTTTTAAGACAAACATGAATTTTTTAATTATATCTGTTTCATATATATGTCACTTTTTTATTGTGATCGCGTGAAATAACACTCTGAAAATTAACGCTGTTTTTCTCAATTTATTTTGAGTTTTTAACAGGGTCACTACTAAAACATTTCCGAAACAGCGCGATTTAACAACAATTTATTCGATAGTAGAATTGTCACGCACAGAATGCATCGAATCTGCCGTGCTTCTCCCTTCGACAGAGAGGAAGAGAAAAAGAGAGAAAGATTCTTTGTTCAATTTGAAGTTGATTTTTCCTTCAAAATCGAAGTAAAAAGAGAACACATTAGATCCGTCGACGTTCAATGTAGCGCGACCGGGAGAGACATGAGGATTTTACACAGCCAAGTTCCACAAATGTTTCGCAAGTCTCAAACGAGAAGCGACAGTATAAACGCCGACGGCAAACGTCGCGATTCGCGCGATTACTCCCTTTGGACGAGCTTAGATAGGCAAAATTTGGTCGTAAGTGCGCGACGCGCGCAAGAACGTTGTAAGGCTCCCTGGCGACGAGTATCGGACGTGTTGCGAAGAATGCATCTAAATCGGAACGTTCGCGTAGAAATCCCGTCGAAGTGGCTGACACGACACTCGACTCCACACGCTCGCCCACGTACGCCGGCGGAATATGCGAGGAAACATGTCGTAAAAATTTAATACGCTGAAAGGCTGGAGGCAAATCGACGGCACGTCAGGAACGCACAATTGAGAACGCGGAGGTTATATCGCGAAGATACGCCAGAAGCATCGATGCAAAAGAACGCGCGAGCGACCGCGTCTCCGCGGTGGAAGCTAACGTACAAAAAGGCCGGAAACAGGCAGGACGAAAAGTCTTGTGTATTTTGCGATGGTGCGATTAATAGTAATCAATCGTCGTCCCCCCCTCCCCGTCTACCTGTTGCACTGACAAAACTATCGACATTCATAGCTATCTATGTTTAACAGTCAACACGCCCATCCTGTGAACCGAGTTTACTTACAAAATACATGTAACGTTTTTCGAGGAACTTGTTGCTATTTTACGCCGGCACAATACAACAACGAAGAATCCACTTTTTTTTTTATACCGAGAGCGTTGCTTTCCAATTCTGTCGGGTTGTTGATTTATCTTTCACTTTTTCCTACGCCGTCCCCGCGCGCGTGATATATAGATCTCGCGAATAGCGATCAAAATCTATTTTTTATTTTCAGTAAATATCAACAATGGAACTCTTTAATTTTACAAATCGATGTAAATTTTTACACTGTTGCATCGCAATCGCGATATAAATTTATACAATTAATTTTATAATATCCTTTTATAACATATATATATAACATATGCTATAAAAGTATGTGTGTGTGTACATGTATGTATATATGTGTGTATATATATACATATATATACATATAAATATATATATATATATATATATATATATATATACTTCTCTCTGGAAAAATTTCCAAATTCACATATTGCGAAGACACAGGATATTATTAATATTTAAATTTTATATTAACCTTTTTATACGAAAATTTGCATTTAGATACGAATGTCTTTGTAAAATATTTAATATCGGGAAATATTCTCTCGTTTTCTGCACATATGAATTTCCTCTGCCCCTTTGATACGGAAATAATAATTACTTTTCCAGAGCGTGAACGTGACAGGTATCTGTTTATAGAATCCCTACGAAATGAGACATATGACCACGATGGGGATATGTATTCTCAGTCTCTTTTGAGTGTGTCCTTCGTCTATATTGAGCACCATGCAGCCCGGAGTCAAAATTTAGATTCTTTGTTAAGCCTGCAAATATCGTCGAACTTGTAAATCAATTAAAAATCTCAAGGTAGAACATTTATATTGACTATTGTACATCCTTTGATACTACGCACAGAAAAATATATACTGCATTTAAATAAAAATGTTACTTGTTACAAATATTAATATGTTCTTAAGAAACATTAAATAATAGTTATATAACTGTTAATTATAATTTTCTAATTAATAATATAACTGTTATATACGTGTATTATAATCTGCCTAGAATGGCCAAGAAATCGACTGCGCATTAACGATCATTTTGGACTCCAAGAAGAGTGAAAATCTTTTTTATAAAATATTTTTTTATATCTGAAACGCAATTATTGATTAGATGCAACTTTCATTAATCTTTTAACTATAATATATATATATATATATATATATATATATATATATATATATATATATTCGTCTTTCGTGAAACGAGCCGAACAAGCCGATAACATCAACCTCTGAACCTAGGTGACGGCGTTTGTAACGTCGGAAGAAGTGCGGCGAGATCGTCCCGCTGCCGGATTTCCGAGCTGCGTGACGGCGATGAAATTCTGGAGAAAGCGATCGGCTATCGGTAATAAAGCCATCGCGCCTGTGTTTAAACGGAGAAGGAGCATCGGGGGAGGCTATCCGCCACTATTCGTGATAGCGGAATGAAGATTACGCAAATAGAGCCATCTACTGTGCAAACTGCTCGAGAAGGCAATAAAAGGCGGACCTACGTAAACGTTCAAGTGCAAACAGCCGACGCGATTGTTACGAGGATTTTATCGGAGCTCTTTGCCGATGGCGAGGAGGAGGAAGGGGAGGAGGGGAAGAAGAAGAAGAAGAAGAAGAGGGTGCTGATGAGTATAACGCTACAATCAGAATCGGATCACGACGTCTCGAATGGGAGTCCCGCCGGGAGAGACGAAAACGTAGATGCTGTCGAATAGCATTACTTCCATGGAGACTGACGCGTTTAGTTCGAATGGACATAAATCTCAAATTACGGTCCTGACGTCGAAGATGGTGCAACGTTAGTCTGCAGAAAAGGAGATTGTTACGAAATGAAGTGTTCCGATAACTTCTTTGCAAGAAACATTAAGTACACGGAGTAAAGATCCAAATCAAACGATCCTGCGAATTTTGATACTTTTTAAACCAAGAAAAAATCCACACAAACGCATGCTTGCCACAAAGTAGTTCTCTTGAGCGACAATTGAAGTATTAACCGCTCTCTTAAAGTGAATCAGTAAAAATGTTTCTAATTGAATCAGTAAAAGGACTATTTCAATGATCAGTGATGAATATTAACTGATTTTTAGTGAAAATACACTTTATTGTTCTGTCTTATATCTCATTGATTTGGTTCAATGGAAGAAAGATTTCACTGCAAAATTTATAATACAAATTGTAAAAGTTTGTTATACCAAATCCAACTTTCAGCGTTTGTGACGATGGAATTAACGGGTTTTATATATACAGTGACATTGTGTCCACAAAGTGCATCAATAATGGGAATAGTCGCTATTGTTAACTGATCCTTTTAGCGAGACTTTACTGATTACAGTGCTGTACTCGTAATTGAGTCACCTGTTATATTATAGTATTTCAATGAGGAATACACTGATTGTATTTTAGAGAGCATCAACATAAGAAGGAGCAGTGACCATTGACATAAGAATGTCTGGACCATTGAAAGAGAAATTGCGACTGCGATTCAAAGTGCATCAAGAAACCAAGTGAAACCAAGTGTAAGTATATATGGATTTTTCATAGAGATCGATAAGCGTAGTCAAGAAACTTGAGGAACTTCAGGCAATATTTCTCTGAAATTTCAGTAACCTGACAACATTTTCCACACACGCGCACATATATGCGCTCGTATTTCCCATTTGTTAATCTCTGACAATGTATGTCGAAAATACGTCGGATATATTTGCATCTCACCGAAATTTATCTCCGAATTGGAATTTCGACCATTAACGCCGATGAAAACAAATAAGCGTTAATCATGAATAACCTCACATGCAATTCACAAAGCCCAAAACACATTCACACGCTCGGAATAATTTCCTCTTCTTCGGTGTGAAATAAAATAGCAATTTCACCTATTCAATATTAGTACAATGATCATATTATAACACAAACGTTATAAACATCGATTCAATATTAATCAATGTGAATCAATCAGACATGGCAGAGAGTGGCCGAAACGAAATTATTGATTGTCGAAAAAGTTGTTGCTGGAAAACGGATCGTATTATGTACTGCATTATCCTAAATGCGACCGACGAGTTACTGTCGCAGCTCAATCACAACTGCATGTTAAAAATTCATACGTTCTTCAACGATGTAGGCGATCTAATGCGTTTCACCGAGTGCAAGAGACAAAGCAAGCAAGTGGAATTTGTTACAAAAACCACAAAGAGTATCGAAATGCTGCGTGAGGTTCGAGGAAAACTTTCTACTCGTGACTCGTCATCGCAGATCAGAGGTAAACTAATTATCGACATGAGAGCGCTTGATAAAATCACGAGAGAAACAATGAACGCAATCACATTCGCAACGCACTTCGTCGCAGCTCTCAATCAGATTCGTTGCACAAGCCTCCCATACGTCGTGAAGGATTTCACTCACCCCCGTGTACTTATTCGAATATATACGGATAACACCATCCCGGAGTGCGGTTGCGCCCTGAGAAGCATTGGCACCGGGACTCAAAGCAATACCGCGAACCGGGAATTCAGTTCGGAAACAAGCCTCAATGCTCCTGAGAAAGCACGCGGAAAGAAACGGCGCGTGGACTTTATTCCCGAGGAAATTGCAAAAGTCTCGGACACTTTGACAGCGGAACCGCGTCTCGTTTACGACGCTGTGACCGAGGACACAGTGCTCCACGCACGCAAATCGGTAATGCTGATGGCAGACGGAACGGAAGAGGAAACATCTAGGGGCAGGGAATCATTAATATCTCCCGTCATCGACGCGAAAGAGAAATCGGATATTGCAGCGGCAACAGATGTTGCGACAGATGCATTGCGACGAGAGTTTTCCCCGATTCGCAGTGCAGAAATACCACAAGACTCCTCAGCGTTATCGGATGAGGCATTTCAAATATCGAGACTCGATGAGTCGCTCGATGCAAATGTCCCAATGCTTCTGCCTATAGAAGAAATGAGAACGCATGGTGACGTAATGTCGATAGAAGATGTAGAAAAGAATGATTCTCTAGATATTGCTGCGATTACGACCGTTATTACAAGTGAGAAGAAAGAATCATCGAATGAAGTTTCTTTACAGCTGATGATAGACAAAGACATTCCTGTTGTCGATAAAACAGCTCTTGATGTCACTGTTAGTTCTACGGTTACGGATTTGGCGGAGGACTCAACAGTAAGCATGTTATCCTTTTTAACCTTATACTCAAAAAACATATAATCTCCTCCATGGCGGAATCCTCTTATATGCCCTTAAGAGGATTCTTCTGAATCCGAAATTCTGGCACTACTGTTGACCTGAACTTTTTAACATCTGTATATTCTGAAGGATCGGTGGTGAAGGTTTAATATCCATGGAAACTAAAATTCTACTTAGCGCCTCTAAGTGGCAAAAAACGCACAAAATGTGCTACTCGTAGGTTCTAAAGAAGATCTCTCGGCAAAGCTAGTAGATTAAATAGAATCAAAACAAGTTGATAGAGAGAGAGAGAGAGAGAGCTTCGTATACACACAATATTCCTGATTGCCTAATCGAAATTTCACAGACCCAACAGCCTGCATATCCAGCAGAAGATACGTTAGAAGAATCTGTAAGCACCAAATATAAAATGCCACTGTCCGAGAAGACACGAGCAATCAAGGTAGCCGAGGTCAAACATTCGCCGACAGGAGAGCCCACACCGCCAGGGCAGAATATGTTTCCGGAATCTGTACAAATCAAGCACAAAATACCACGGCGTAGAAAGGCATGGGCGGCCAAGAAAACTGACGAGGTTGGAACTTCGCCGGTAGGAAAACCCACACAGCTAGCGAAAGATATGTTCCAAGAATCTGTACAATTCACGTACAGAATGCCGCGGTTTAAGAAGACACGAACGATCAAGGATACCGCGGTCGGAACTTCGCCGGCGGGAGAAGAATCTACACAGTTAACGAAAGATACATTCCAGGATTCTGCACAAACCAAGTATAAAGCATCGCGATTTAAGAAGACACGCACGATCAAGGATATCGGGAACGAAACTTCGCCGGCGGGAGAGCCTATGCCGTTAACCAACGACGTGTTGCGGAAGTCTATACAACCTATACAACAGACCATGTACAACGCAGCGCGTCCTAGAAGGAATCAAAAGACCAAAAGTATCGAGAGCTGTTCGACAAGGACGTTCGTCTCGTTCGCCTGGCCTAAAACAACCAAGAGGTCGTGCGATTACCTCGAGAGATCGACAACGGGAATCAGACAAGATTGTCGGCAGCTGAGAATCCTCCAGCCAAGATGCTGCGAAAGATCCAGATACCACGATACTTCACGTCCGAGCTTGCAGAACGGAGTTACGCGGAACGCTGCTTCAGATCACGTTTGTTATCCTTTCCTGCAAGATCCGTGTATGAGCAGATGCCATGGTGGTTACTGGTGGTGGGGGGAAACTTGCGACACCACCAGCCACAGGAAATATGGTGCGACTGTCGGAAATTCGTTGCATGCTCATGCGTACTGTAACGGCGACACGGGACATTATTGCCCGCATTTAAATGCTATTGACAACTGTCGGACTGGATATTGTCATTGGAATGACGGCCGCTCAGTATGGAATAACGACCGGTATTACGGAAGGAGCTGATCACATTACCGAGCAGATGAAAATTTATATTTCATGCATTGCTGGATGCCCCGGCATTTTCTGTGATATTGATATTGACAATGGCATTGCGCGACATTTAACCCGGCCGAGTAATTCGAGACCAATTGCCGGGCCGAGCGGTGATACCAAAATCACCGCTCGCAGTTTATCAGGCCCTTTTTTCACCGGGCGCAAATTAAAATTGATAATAAATATCGCTCGTGTAATACCGCGCATCGCAATTCGTGACGTGACGCGTCGCTCCTAATTATAGAGCCACGTACTAATGTTAGTTATGAACTCGCGTGCGCAAATAACCGTTGGAGTTTCGAGCGGTCCGACGCGCGCAACCGTGCATATATTAATAATTAAAATTAATAACTAAGTATAGCTACAGCATACGCGCGCACTCGCGCAACACACTCGGCACACTGATGTCGCACGACACAAGATAATGTATCGTACGATATATTAATGCGGACAAAGCGATTACGTGTCGCGACACACGGCAGACCGCGTTGCGACAACTAAATTCGCTAATAATGACAAAGGGCTCGGCAATTCGAGAACACACGAAAACCGAGTGAAATTGCGGCGCGTGGTCGATATGACAGGGGCTTGAGAAGGGGAGGAGAGAGGAAAGGGGGTTTGCGCAACAACGGAAGTCAGACGCAGCGACGTTCGGAGGAGGCCGGTTAATATCGCCTTTTCGTCTCCGCACGAAGCCTCTCCACCGTTCTCCGCTGCTTCCGAGCGTCCGCGGGTATAAACCGCCGCATACGTGAGAAAGCGTCGCCGTTCCGCAAGAAACGCCAAACAGCGTCGAAAAGAGCTCGCGGCCACTCAAGAAGTTTGCATCAACGGGTCCCGGGGGTACGTCGTCATCGTCGTTGTTGTATCTTGAGCGGCCCTCGCGGTCGGCGATTGCGGAGGAAAGGAGCCTCGCGGAAGTTCGTCATAAAGTTCCTTGATAGCCCAACTGCTGGATACCCATACCGGATGCTTAGCAAAACCCAAAAGCCGTCCGAAAATGCGCGAGCGACACCGTACGTTCCGCGCGTTTCCTTGCGTTGTCACATTTTCAGACGTCACCGTACAAATATGTTCAGTCGCGAAACGTTTTGCACACTTTTCATCGAAGGGAGTTGCAGCGCTTCAAGTTGTCACAATTAACGGGAAGTTATAGGTTAGGTAGCTGGAAAGTAGCAAGTTTTTACGAATTTGTTTTAAAGAAATGAATAAATAGATAGGAACCGAAGTGACAGTATAGGATGTGCCAATAAATTTAAAAAGAAGAATTTATATATTTTGAAATAATGACATGATGACATGATATGGTGTGTTGGATGCAAGTTCAGCAGCTCTCAATGGTGACAACTTGCGCTGCAACTTTATTCGACAAAAAGTGTCAAAAACCGTTTTGCGACCTAATATACAAACTGATACTATCGTTGAATACGTCAACATATAATTAGAAGCTGTCAACGCTCGAGTTTACAATTTATATTAAATCCTCTCACAAAGGTCTAAATATCTCACGATACTTTGAAGTTGAAGGAGGAATAACGCGAGTGATAGCGAGTTTCCGACTGTTTGAAGGGTTCACGGGTCGCGCGACGGTATTCAATTGTTTCTACGCATTTCCTACCAGCGAATCCAGCGTGATACAGCCAGTCACTCGAGGGATTCGCAACGCGAAGGCTGAACGCGCGCAGGAAGATACCTCGAGAGGATCTCACGTCTTAAGCAGCCTTTGTACTTTGGAGTCCATCGAGACAAGAACTTCACCCAAGTTCGCGGCAATCTGCTTCGCAAACTTCCTGAGTGACCGATATAACGGGAGAGAGGGTGGGGGATGGATGGGGCCCAAAATAGTCTTCTCTAGAGGACCAAGTACAACAACAACGCCAGCATTACAGTCGTTGGTATACGCAATCGTAATTCCGAATAGCTTCAATCTAACGACAAGACTTAATATTATCTTGACGAATGTGTCTGTCAGGTAGCATCTGAAGACTCGATCTTGACATCGCGATATTATAGAAAGTTTTCCAGACAAGAAGAAGATATACCATATGTGCTTCGACACAACATTGTGCGCCATCTTTCGTGTTGAGGCTCTTGGATACTCGCTGCGGCCATGGTGGATAGTGACGTCAGAAGAGAGAAATGACACGCTAAAAATTGTTGCGTGGTGTTTCAAAATAAAAAATATTTGTATTGTTTTTCTATGAAAGAATATTTCAGATAATTTGAGTATATTTGCAAAATGTTCCAAAAACTATACTTTTACCTTAGTAGTCAATAAATAGCCGTAAAATGAACATGGGAGAATTTTGAGGAAAGATAGGTTAAAGTGGAAAATTATTTGTCACGGCTATTTATTACGACTGTCAAGAGAAAAGGATAGTTTTTGGGGTATTTTACAAGTATGCTTAAACGATGAAAAGTGTTCTTTCATACAAATATCTTTTATCTGGAAATGGCGCGCACGAATAATTTTAGACATGCGTTTTCTCGTTTCTGACGTCATCAATCAAGAGTTCCGCACCGAGTACCTGGGGGAGTCTTAAGTACGGCATTCAGGAACATTGATCTCGACAACGAACGTTCTTACGAGCTATGGTAACGCGATGAAGTGTACGGTGGACAGTGAAGACTCGTGGGGACGCGAGACTCGCGTTGGATCACGCGAAGAAGTAACAGGAAAAACTTCGTGGCGTCGGACTGTGCGAAGAGTGAAGGTTACGGCGAGCTTCCTCAGAGAGGAAGAGATTGTAAGCCCGGAGAAATCGAGGAGGATATGAAGAGTCCCATAATACCTCCTTGGACATCTCCATCCGTCGCGTTATCACGTTAAGTTGATTAAACACGGACGACAACACGCTTCCTCCTTCTCCCTCCCCCCTGTCAGCCTCCGTACAACACCGTTGTCGTAGTATCGCCTTCTGTGTATCCGTGCCCCATCGTGCCTCCGCCGTGCCGCAACCTGGCCGTGTATCCACCTCTGTCTGACCCACCTCCGCGCAATCTGGTGCCGTGTAATCCGCCGGCGTGTAAACCACCCTCGTGTAAACTGTCCGCGTGTAAATCACTGCCATGTCCAGCGCCATCGGCCTGTCCGCCGCCGACGTCGCCGTCGCCGCCTCCGCGATGCGGTGCGTCTCCGTGTACAGCGTCTTCGAACCGTCCAATTCCGGCCAACCTGGGCAGCTCGTGTTCGACAGCTCCGTGCCATTCGTGGAGACACATGCGGCCAGCAACAGAAAGACGCGAGTACACCGATGATGATGGGAGAGGTCATTCGCGTGACAGCTGCGGCCAGGACTATTCGTAATTGCAATTAGTCTAGGATTGAACGTGGATTGTCGCGCTGGGGAAATCTACCATGTGGATAATCTTCCTCGCAACGTGTGCAATGATTTATCAGGCCACTATATGTGTTCCTCTTTCTTAAAGAAAATATTCCCTAGGTCAGAGTATTTTTCTTTTTCTTGCGTGTTCTCTAAATTCCGTGAAGAGAAATCTCTCTTAGAAAAGTGGTAGTGTTTTCACTCAAAGCGAGAGTGGAAATACTCGAAATCGTAAGAATAAATGCTTCACTCAAACTTACACTGGATTCTGAGTTTATACAAGCGAATTTTTCTGTAAACTTTATCAAGAATATTCTTTGTCCAATTTTCTTAAACGTTCTAAAACTTACACAAAAAGAGCGGACAATTTATTTGACAGTACATCAGATTCACGCTTCAATTTCGAGTGAAAATATTCGCTGAGACGATTGAGAGTGAAGAACTCTGTACGAGTAAAAAATCGTTCAGTCGACTTTTCGAGTGAAGTTTTCCTCTAAGAAATTCAGAGAGAGTATCTATGTAATACGTGGAGGTTTGAAGCAGAACCGCACCGTATATATACGAATTTTGCTGATACATTAAATGTAAACGCTCGAGCTGCAAAAGTATTCCTTCTTGCGGGGGATGCCGCGGTCAATCGTGCGGAAGGATACATAGTGGAGCGGGTTCCGGCGGCGGCGGAACGAGCTGCTTGTCGAGAAACAATTTTGGATTCGGGTGCTGCTACGAGCGTTGGAAATCCAAGCTGCGGATGTTGCTAATGATTCACCGCCTCAAAGACTCTACGCTCGAGAAATTAATTAATAAAGCAATTTCCGACGTAACTGGCAGTTTCACTCCCCTCCCGGGAGAAGAAGCGCACAGATTGTCTTCGAACGCGAAACTTACCGATAATACTATAATTCTCGTTCGCTCAGTACGAGGCCGCAATGGCTGCTTAAAGTTAATGACAATCATCCTACCTAAACGTAACCAAAATTAACGTTCAACAGTGGCGTACAAAATAAAGCGTGCAATCGCGAGACGCTAGAGACGAGACTGCCAAGTTGTTTACCAAACGTGTCGTATCGACCGCAGCACGTGCTTGGGATTCGCCTTCGAGTTTCTTGAGAGCACACATCCTGATCTATCGGATAATCAGTTGCTGGATCGGCTGTGGGAGCAAGGTAAAGACCCTTGCGAGATGCTTGCACGAGCAGCATCGTCTACGTAGCTCGCCTACGAAAAAGAACTTGCGCAGGTTCCATGTATAATCCTGACGTCAGTTATCGGATCATAAGAAGATAGCAACGCTGCTCGCGAACGAGATACTTTGTAACTCAAGTAACGAACCTATCGTTATCATAAAGCTTTCTCCTCCTCTGACTCTTATAAACAAAATTTCATCTCCAAGAATAAAAAATTCTGCTTCCTTTAATCGAAACTCTTTTGGTTCGTTCATTGTCGGATTAATTCAATCAAATCTCTTTCTCCGTGCACGATAATTATTGGGAAAGACTTGATCGGTAGCTGTGGCGCGTGCACAAAAAGGCTGCAGAGCCTTTAGAAAAAGGATAAGGATAAGGATAAAGAAAGTACCGAGTAAGTATATTGGCGTCTAATATCATTTTCTTCGACGCAGAAGCACACAAATGCCCGATTACGTAATCTTTCCGCTCTATATACCAGCGTGGCCTGAGTCTCGCTAATCGTTGAGGATAACTGCTATTCCCCTAGTAGGGGGAGAGCCCGTGTCGTGCTGTTATTTATCTCGCTTTTCTTGCGCACGCTTGCGCTTCGCATTTTACGTACAAAATTCCCGAGCGCCCCTTTGTAAGCGGTGCTCGTTCGCGAAGCTTGGAGAACTATCCCGCTCGGAAATACAGCGCGAAAGCGAG